ATACCAAGAAGAATAAACTTCCAACCGCCTGACCAGGATGGTGACAGTGACATGCCTGGGAAATTAGAGAGGCTACAGAAAACCCAGTAACAATGGCGGATTTAAACTATACCCACCTCAGGATGGGGTGCAGAGATAAAATTTCTTAGCACCATTAATGACTGCTTCTTGGAGCAGCTAATCCCGAAACTCAGAAAGGAGAGGCAATTCTTGATTTAGTCCTAAGTGGTGAACAGGATCTGGTCCAAGAGGTAAATATAGATTAATCGCTCAGTAACAGTGACCATAAAACAATTAAAATTTAACATCTTTGTGAGGAGAGAGGGGGAATGCCAAAGAAACCCACCACAATAGCATTTAACTTCAAAAAGGTGAATGACACAAAAATGAGGAGGCTAGTTAAATAAAAATTAAAAGGAACAGTCACAAGAGTGAAATGCCTGCAAGATGCATGGAAACTTTTTAAAAACACCATAATGGAGGCTCAAATTAAATGTATACCCAAAACAAACAAACAAAAAAAACAGTAAGAGGACCAAAAAACACTTTCAGGGCTAAACAGAATAAAAGAGGTGGTTAGGGGAAAAGGGCATCATTTTAAAATGGACGTCCATTCCTGCTGAGGAAAATAGAATGGAACAAACCCTGGCAAGTTAAGTATAATATGGCAGGCCAAAACAAGAACTTGAAGAGCGACTAGCAAAAGACACAAAAACTAACAGCAAAAGAATTTTAAGTACATCTATGCAGGAAGTCTGCCAAACAATTAGTGGGGCCAGTGGACAATTGAGATACTAAAGGAGCACTCAGGGAAGACAAGGCCATTAAGAAGCAGCTAAATGAATTCTTTGCATCAGTCTACACTACAGAGGATGTGAGGGAGATTCCCACAGCCATTCTTTTCAGGCAACAAATCTGAGGAACTGTCCCAGTTTGAGTAATCAATGGAGGTGGTTTTGGAACAAAGTGATAAATTAAACAGTAATAAGTCATCAGAACCGGAGAGTGTTCACCCAAGAGTTCTGAAGGACTTCAAATACGAAATTGCTGAACTACTATCTGTGGTATGTAACCTAACACTTAAATCAGCCTCTGTACCAGATGACTGGAAGATAGCTAATGTGACATTGACATTTTAAAAAATCTTTAGAGGTGATCCTGGCAATTACAGGCCAGTAAATCTAACTTCGCTACCAGGCAAATAGGTTGAAACTACAGTAAAGAATAGAATCATCATACACACAGATGAACACGATATGTTGGGGAACAATCCACATGGCTTTTGTAAAGGGAAATCATGCCTCACCAATCTATTAGAATTCTTTGAGGGGGGTCAACAAACATGTGGACAAGAGGGATCCAGTGGATATAGTGTATTTGGACATTCAGAAAGCCTTTGACATGGTTCCTCGCCCAAGGCTCTTAAGCAAAGTAGGCAGTCATAGATCAGTAACTGGTTACAAGACAGGAGACAAAGGGTAGGAATAGCTCAGCGGTTTGAGCATTGGCCTGCTGAACCCAGGGTTGTGAGTTCAATCCTTGAGGGGGGCCATTTAGGGATCTGGGGCAAAAACTGGGGATTAGTCCTGCTTTGAGCAGGGGGTTGGACTAGATGACCTCCTGAGGTCCCTTCCAACCCTGACAGTATGATAGACAGTCCATTTTTACAGTGGACAGCGGTAAACAGCACAGTCCCCCAAGGATTTGTAGTGGTACCAATGCTGTTCAACATATTCATAAATGATCTGGAAAAAAGGGTAAACAGTGAGATAACAGAGTTTGCAGAGGGTACAAAATTACTCAAGATTGCAGTCTGCTTTTGACGTAACTAAGAGTTACAAAGGGGTCTCTCAAAACTGGTGACTGGGCAACAAAATGGCAGATGACATTCAATGTTGATAAATGCAAAATAATGCACGTTGAAAAACATAATCCCAACTATACATATGAAATGATGCAGTCTAAATTAGCGGTTACCACTCAAGAGAGATCTTTGAGTCATTGTGGATAGGTCTCTGAAAACATCCACGCAATGTGCAGCAGCAGTCAGAAAAAGCTAACAGAATGTTAGGAACCATTAGGAAAGGGATAAGACGGAAAATATCAATGCCACTATATAAATCCATGGTATGTCCATACCTTGAATATTTCATACAGTTCTGGTTGCCCTGTCTCAAGAAAGATATTAGAATTGGAAAAAACACAGAAGGGCAATGAAAATTATTAGGGGTATGGAACAACTTCAATATCAGGAGAGATTAAAAAACCAGGACCGCTTGGCTGGAAGAGAGATGACAGAGAAGGATGTGATAACGATCTATAAAATCATGAATGGTGTAGAGAAAGCAAATAGGGAAGTGTTATTTACCTCTTCATAGAACACAAGAACCAGGGGTCACCCAATGAAATTAATAGGCAGCAGGTTTAAAACAGACATAAAGGAAGTACTACTTCACACAATGCACAGTCATCCTGTGGAACTCACGCTGTGAAGGCCAAAAGTAGAACCGGGTTCAAAAAAGAACGAGATAAATTCATGGATAACAGGTGCAGCAACAGCTATTAGCCAAGATGGTCAGGGATACAACCCCATACTCTGGGTGTCCCTAAACCTCTGATCACTAGAAGCTGGGACTCGATGATAGGGGATGGGTCACTTGATAAATGGGCCTGTTCATTCCCTCTGAAGCACCTGGCACCAGCCACTGTCAGAAGACTGGGCTAGCTGGAGCATTGGTCTGACCCAATATGGCCATTCTTAAGAAATCGTGGCTTTGGGCAAGTGAAGCTGTTAAAGGGAAGAGGGTGTAGTGCTTGGGTGCAGCTTCTCAGTGGGGATTAACAGTGGTTTAGCTCCTCAGCTTCCCTGAACTGCACTCTGATCCAGGGAAGCCACATGAAAGAGTGTCAGAAGCCATCTAAGCTCTGTGAGCAGTACGGACCACGAGTTCAAGGGCACTGGCTCTCCACTACCTTTAAATGATGCTTCCTTGTAACAGAGTGGGCAGGGGAGGATTGAGGAACTCAAATGGAGCTAAATAGCAATAGGAGGGAATAGCAACTTCTACATTCCTGCAATTTTGCTCAAACTCTCCCAGCCACTCCCTGACAACTCACCTCTGGCTAAGGATCCTCAAAGTATGAAAAGCAATGTGCCTGAATATGGTGGAACTTCAGATTTGGACAGTAAGATTTGCCCTTTAGAGCCATAAATAAAGAAGATTCCACTAGCCATTCCCTGTGAACCTTCCCCTCCATGCGCTTTAAAGCTGAGTTTACTTTAGAATAAGCATTTGCAAAGTATACTTTTAAGAACTGAATTCAGCTTCTCCTGGCTGAGGCATTTATGGAAATTTACTGATTATGGCCTGCCACTACTCCTCTCTGAAGTTTAGGAGGTGTACATTAATCACACAAATATTCTGATGCTCATTTGTTCTCTCTCCTTGATCCTGTAACTTTTTAATACTAAAATAGCAAGTCAATAGGAAATATTTTATTAATCTTAAAACTCAGACACAAATTATTGAAAACTATACATTAAAGAATGACTAATCAAATTAAGATACTGTCAAAAGCCATTAAACAGACCTAACAGATGTAGATGTTAGGATTATTAGCTCTGAAGAACAGGCAAATGCATATTGCTAATAAAATAACTGAAATACAGATAGTAATTAACACCTAACATACTTTCTGCAGTAACAGTGACCTTTTCTTGCTACAAGTTTTACACTTGTTGCATGTGCTCTCACTTCCTGGTTTGTCAGAACAGAAGCCTCATTCAGTCTCAGACATCTATCTAAAGCAAGCACCAAAAACTAAGACTACCACCAATATGTTCATTATCCATATTCTAGCACTTCCTAGAGGCCACAAGCAAAAGTAGGGCTCCATTATAAAAACGTAATAAGAAAAACAAACAGTTACACGCACACCCAACACTTGGGCACCCTATATAGTACGAGTTAAACATTTGGGCAAAACTGGTCCAACTGTTTGCGTAACATAGTATTGAGAGTTCATTACAATATTATGCCGTTGATTACTCAGAACAAGAAATACATTCAGTTTTCAGTATTGCTTGTTATGAACTATTAAAAACGTCTATGCTAAAACCACATCATGGTAGTGTAAAGATGCTCACTCTAAGATGGTAACACCCTGTAACAGAGAGATCTGGTGATTAATATTACTGTTTTACTATATTGGTTTGCTAAACAAAAACTCAATGTTTTCCTAATTGTTTTCTCTCTAATGTTTGCATGGCAAGAATTTGTAAACTTGTTTAAAAAAAAGGTTTAAAAAAATTTATTTAGGAAGTTTTATTTATTCAAGCTACTACTATTTTGAGCTGCAGATTCAATATGGCATACATCTGGTTACTTTGTTAATTAAAAGGCCACTTGAACAACAACTTTTGCTAATAATCAAAGTAAATGTGACTGACACCTATATTTAAATGAAATAACTTCCCCACCACCTTAGAATATGAAAATTTCATACATAAATGGAAAGAAAAAGGATTATCCAGAAAGAGCCTTTAGAGGCAAGCCCATAAACATTACACCTTCATGGAAAAGTTTTTAAAAAGACTTAACACGGTTTGCCATATTGTCTTTTTCAATTAAAAACAAACATGTTGAACAACAATGTATACTACATTACACTTTAATGTGTTTCTCTATTACTACTGGGAAAAGCTACAGCTTCCCTCAAGGCAAATGAGTTGACACCTGTGTAGAATTTTTTAAAAACATAATTTATAATGCATAGACATGTTCCCTTTAACATCTGCAAAAGCTGAAAACAGCAAAAAGAGAATCTATCCAGAATCTGTTAGTAAGTATTTCATAAGAATGTAAATAAGTGAAAAGAAGAGAGTCAGAAAAAGAAATAATGCAAGTGTGCCCAGAGTTTTTACTTGCTTCTCCTGCCTGGGTATTTTGTTACTTTCCCTTCCACCTCCAGAAAGAGCGTTAGAAAGATGATCTGCTTACCAAGTTAAATACAGTTTCTACAATGTCCCTGTTGGATACTTCGCCAACTTCAACCAGTCCCGTCAGCACTGCAAATTTCATCCTGATGCCTCGGATAGGGACTCCTGGGTTCAAGGGCTGCAGCGTACTCCCCACTTCAGCAGAACCTCCTCCTTTCCCTCCTCCTCCTCCTCCTCCTCCATCACCTGTTGGCTGAAGAACCTGTTTGTCTTCACTAGCCATAGCTAGCTAAGTTCAAGTTACCACTAGCTGAGATGCCAGAGGCACAGCCGCCACAGCCAATGAGGAGTGATTTCAGTGGCAGGGAAAGAGGTCTCTTGCTCACTCTCTCTTCAGGTCCAACTTGCGAAAAACCCTAAGTACAGCGGGTGTGGAGAGCGCTCGCCCAATCTTCGCTTTTTCCTCAACAGCAGGGTTGGGTCAGCTGCCTCACTGCCCCGAGGCAGGTACGTAAAGCCCTGAAAGGCAACACGTCCAGTCGTTTGAAAGCCCCTGCCAGGCAGACGACCCCCCAAGTTACCAGTGGCCCACCTCCCTCCCCGCCCCCACAAAACAGGGACGGTAGCAGCCGGGGAGCAAATTGCCTCTCTCCCGCCCCGTGGAATCTGCCCCACAGACAGCGCTGGGTTTCTAAAGGGGAGTCAAGGGGGCGCGCCCCGTGCTCGGCTCTATTCCCGCCGTGCCCCCCGCTCCCGGGCTCGGACCTCCGCCGCCGCTGAGCGTGCAGAGCCCGCTGCCCCTTCGCCCGCCCGTGCACGCACAGGTGCCGCGACAAACCGCCCAGGAAGGAAGTTCAGGCTCACCTAATTCTCCTCCTCCTCGCGTCTCGTGCGCCGCCGGGGGTGGCGGGGGGGGGGGGGGGGCAGAGGCTCGCTTTAATGCCCGGCTGAGGGGCGGGGAGAGCGGGCTGCTCTGGTACCCCGCACTCGCGCGAGCCCTTGGGCCGCTAGCCCCCCTGGCGCAGAAGCACCCGCCGCTCCTGGAGCGGGAAGGAGCCGAAAGTTTCAGCCGCCGCTGCCTCACCCCGCGGTCTCCCTTAGCCCCATCTCTTCCTGCCTCGGCTGCAAACACGGCCGCTCTCTGCCGCCATGACAGCGCTGAGTCCCGGGAGAGGAGCCGTGCGCCTGCGCGGCTAGGAACTGGCAGGCGGGCGGGGCGCAGAGCGGGGCACGGGGGCCGCGGGCCGCGCACGCCCAGGTGAGCCCAGGTGTGCGCAGGTGAGCGGCGCGCGCTGCGGCCCGCCGCCCGGCCAGGAGCTCTGGCTGCAGGGGGAGGCGGTCGCCGGGCCGCGAAGCTGCTGCGCAGCAGCCACCTAACCCGGCTCCCCGCCCCGGCCCGGGATTAGCGGCCGGGGAAGCTCCCTCATGGGGGACTCATTGTCAATGTTAGTTTATTGGTCACCCAGCGCCCAGACGCGTGTGAGGCTCCCACGGACCCCGCAGTGTTGATTGACCTGATTTCCAGAGGTGAAGCTGCACTGCTCCCACGGGACCGGAGGGTGCCCGCACCTGTGGAAAGCAGGCTGCTGCAGTGTCCCGATGAGCAGAGGGAAGGGGTGCAGTGTGCAAATGCAGTGAGTCAGGAGAGGTGTGAAACCTGGCTCGCGAGTGCTGCTCATTTCCCCCTCCTCTCAGCTGTTTTTCTTTCCGATCCTCATCCACAGCTCCCTTCTCTCTCTTCCTTTTCCCCAGCCTGGACTGAGGCTGCAATCCTGAAAAGAATCACCTAGCTTCAATAGGGTTATTCATATGTTGAGTGTGTGGGAAATCTTTAGAGACTGTGGGCCTACCTATGGGTCAGGTTACTTGTGGTCCAAGTGTATGTCAGATACACAAACTTTTGCAAAACCTTAGCCCTGCCACAGGGATGTTTCCGTGATTGCTTTAATTCTAATGGAAACACTTTTGAAGAAGTAAAAAACTAAATAATTTGCCTGCCCTGTGCACAGTGTGAAACTGATTAGAAAGAAAAATGAAATCAACTGGTCTGTATTCTCTGGCCAATCTGAGAGAAATGCTACTAGTGAGCAGCATAGTAAATGTAGATTGTCTTTAATTATTTCAGCTCTCAATCATGTAATTTAGTAGCATATATCATTTAGAAATACGTATATGGCTTAGTTCAACTCTGGATTATACTGACCTCTAATGTTTTAAAAATCAGCCTGAAGGGCAGTGACACAAAACATCTGAAACCACTGTTCCAGCAGGAGGGCCACAGCAAGTCAGTGCAATCCCAAATGTAGTAGAGTGATAGGGGAGAGGATATGGTGAAGGCAACCAGGGGATACACAGGTTGAACACATGCCCCAGAAAGGCTGTCTACAGCACCTGGATGGGAGTTCACCTGGGAATCCAAAATACTAGCCTGGCCTGGAACTGTTTAGTTTTTGACATCAGACAAGATTGAGTGCAATCAGTGTAGTGAACACATGCCTGAGCCTCTGATGGTGGCTGCAGTTTAAATCTGCCCTCCAAAAGGAGACCTTTAAGGGGCACAGGGTTCACAGAGCAACCTCACACTTCAGGAGCAGCTCCTGCAGCTTCTGTTCCATGGAACTAGACCCAGCTCCAGGTGTTGTGACCTTGCCCATGGAGTCACAGTGGTGTTCAGGTTTGGCCCAGGCTCCTTTCCTTCACCAGGAATGAGGGGCAGCTGGGCCAAATTTGAGTGAACGGCACCACAGCCCCATATGCCAGGTTGCAGCACTCAAATTTGGCCTGGCTACCCCATCTACTTCAGTGGGAACAGACCCAACCTTAGGAGCATTGTCACCCTGTGTACGAGATTACAATGCCCAGAGAGAGAGAGTCAGTCCTAGCCCCACAGGATAGAAGCTATCACTGTGAGGTGAATTTTTCATTTTATGTCTTTTTTATTTAATGTTCTTTTTCATTCTCTTTTACATTTGTGAAAAACACAGGGCTCTACCAATAGCAGTGCTTCCATCATATATGGGGCAGGAAAGAGACTGAAGTCCAGATCCTCAAAAGTATTTATGCTCCTAACTTCCACTGAAATTAATGGAAGTTAGGAGCCTACATATCTTTGAGGATCTGGGCCTGAGCTGCTTATCCCATCCCAACCATTAGTTTGGTCACGTGTGAAATGAAAGACAGCATGTCTCCTGTAGCAGCACTTCCTCAGGTAATCTGAATACAAATATAGATTGTATGATTTGTAGATTGTATGATTTATCAGGTGTATTTATTAAATTCAGGTAAAAAATGAGATGAAATAATGTAATAGTCATTTGTTTTTGTTTTTTCCTTCAGGGGTTATTTTTATAAAATAGTTTTGGGATGTGTCAGGTAAAATCTGATAATTTGACATAGAGGTTGAAAAGCCACATTTCAAATGCCTTCAAGTTGAGGTTGCATAATCATTTGAATGTTCCACCATGTTGCTTTGTTCAGGTTATGGATTACAGTGATTTTTAATCAATATTATTTATATGCAACATGTAAGAAGGAATCATAGAATATAAGGGTTGGAAGGGACCCCAGAAGGTCATCTAGTCCAACCCTCTGCTCGAAGCAGGACCAATTCCCAGTTAAATCATCCCAGCCAGGGCTTTGTCAAGCCTGACCTTAAAAACCTCTAAGGAAGGAGATTCTACCACCTCCCTAGGTAACGCATTCCAGTGTTTCACCACCCTCTTAGTGAAAAAGTTTTTCCTAATATCCAATCTAAACCTCCCCCACTGCAACTTGAGACCATTACTCCTCATTCTGTCATCTGCTACCATTGAGAACAGTCTAGAGCCATCCTCTTTGGAACCCCCTTTCAGGTAGTTGAAAGCAGCTATCAAATCCCCCCTCATTCTTCTCTTCTGCAGGCTAAACAATCCCAGCTCCCTCAGCCTCTCCTCATAAGTCATGTGTTCCAGACCCCTAATCATTTTTGTTGCCCTTCGCTGGACTCTCTCTAATTTATCCACATCCTTCTTGAAGTGTGGGGCCCAAAACTGGACACAGTACTCCAGATGAGGCCTCACCAATGTCGAATAGAGGGGAACGATCACGTCCCTCGATCTGCTCGCTATGCCCCTACTTATACATCCCAAAATGCCATTGGCCTTCTTGGCAACAAGGGCACACTGCTGACTCATATCCAGCTTCTCGTCCACTGTCACCCCTAGGTCCTTTTCCGCAGAACTGCTGCCTAGCCATTCGGTCCCTAGTCTGTAGCTGTGCATTGGGTTCTTCCTTCCTAAGTGCAGGACCTTGCACTTATCCTTATTGAACCTCATCAGATTTCTTTTGGCCCAATCCTCCAATTTGTCTAGGTCCTTCTGTATCCTATCCCTCCCCTCCAGCGTATCTACCACTCCTCCCAGTTTAGTATCATCCGCAAATTTGCTGAGAGTGCAATCCACACCATCCTCCAGATCATTTATGAAGATATTGAACAAAACCGGCCCCAGGACCGACCCTTGGGGCACTCCACTTGATACCGGCTGCCAACTAGACATGGAGCCATTGATCACTACCCGTTGAGCCCGACAATCTAGCCAGCTTTCTACCCACCTTATAGTGCATTCTTCCAGCCCATACTTCCTTAACTTGCTGACAAGAATACTGTGGGAGACCGTGTCAAAAGCTTTGCTAAAGTCAAGAAACAATACATCCACTGCTTTCCCTTCATCCAGAGAACCAGTAATCTCATCATAAAAGGCGATTAGATTAGTCAGGCATGACCTTCCCTTGGTGAATCCATGCTGGCTGTTCCTGATCACTTTCCTCTCATGCAAGTGCTTCAGGATTGATTCTTTGAGGACCTGCTCCATGATTTTTCCAGGGACTGAGATGAGGCTGACTGGCCTGTAGTTCCCAGGATCCTCCTTCTTCCCTTTTTTAAAGATTGGCACTACATTAGCCTTTTTCCAGTCATCCGGGACTTCCCCCGTTCGCCACGAGTTTTCAAAGATAATGGCCAATGGCTCTGCAATCACAGCCGCCAATTCCTTCAGCACTCTCGGATGCAACTCGTCCGGCCCCATGGACTTGTGCACGTCCAGCTTTTCTAAATAGTCCCTAACCACCTCTATCTCCACAGAGAGCTGCTCAGTCCCTCTGTTCTACTCCCATTGAAGTCAATGGCAAAACAAGAACTAGGACTGAACCCTAGCAGTTGGGGCAGGAACAAAGCAACTCCTTTTGGTGTGTAATTTGTCTGACAGCTAGCATTAAAAATGTGAACCCCGGTCCTTCTGACTGGCCTGAGATGCAATGGCACCAACACACAGCCAATTTTTAAGAATCCCTTTTTCAGTGTAATCCCATAGTTGTCATATGGATTTTGGAGTTTGAAATAAGGGGAAGGGATTTAACCTGAAAAACAGAGAACCTAGTGCTCTTCAATCTATTTACACAGATGGTGGTGAGCAAAGCTCAGTGGAAACCTGTCTGTGAAGCAGAAATAGTGGAGCAGTAGCTCCTACATGCCTCTTTTCTCTCTTTGGGAGCCCATAGAATTTCCCTTTCTTTCCAGGGGCATTCTATGGGGTTGTGACTCTGTGGGTTGCAAAGAGCAAGACAGGAATGGGGCAGAACAGGAGAACAGCCGGTGAATTTCTGCTGCAAAAATTAATGCTGGTGTAAGTTTTACAGCTTCTATTCCCCCTGGGAGATGAGGGTAGTACAGCTACAGATGGGAGTCGGATTCAGCCAATAACAGCATGGTTTCTAAGGTGTAAAGACATCACTCACTACTTAAAGGCAGCCATAGGGGTGGGACATAACTATTATAATAGCAGCATTGTACAACAGTCTAGAACACCAAATGAAGAAAACCTTATAAAGTTGGTGTGACAGAGGAATTTATTCTGCAAAATGCTATTATCCAAGGTGGAATTTGATCAGTCTTACCACTGGAAAAAAGCAACATAGGATCTTTAATAAATGTGATTAGTCAGGAGGACCTCAGTTTCAGCCTTCTGAAAGTTAGTCTTGTATCTTTTCTTCATATGATTCTTTTATTTTTGAGGCAATGAGTGGAGAAGATTTGCTCCTCCTTTATGATTGTGCTAAATAATAAACTGTTAATAGAAATGCTAAGTAATTGCACCTGTGTTAGGGTTTTAACATTGCCCATTACCAT